TCCCTCCCTCCCTCCCTCCCTCCCTCCTCCTCCTCCTCCTCCTCCTCCTTCAAGGGAGAGAGCCGCCAGCATTACCCCGTACGCTGCTCTCCTCAACGGGCGGAGGAGCCCGAGCTCGTCCATCGCCCTCAACAGCACCCCAGCTGTCGCAGACTCCCGCGTGATGTCTGTCCTCATCGTGCCCGGCCGCACAGCGACGCTCTCAACCCCCAGCTCACCCTCCAGCTCCTTCACAGCCATCACCCCCAGCAGCTGGCGCGCTTCTCAGCTCCCCTCCACCTCCCCGCAAACTTTCTCACCTTGCTGTCAGCGTAAGCTCGCCACCTCCCTAAGAATCTTCTCTGCTGGAAGGCGAGACCTCTTACATCTCCCCTTCCTCCTCCTCCTCTCCAGCCGCCGCTGCCGCTGCTGCCTAGCAGATGCAGTGCCGAGGAGATCCAAACAATTCGCGGGATGCTTCCCCACATCCTGTCACCTGACGAGGAGGAGGAGGAGGACGAGAAGAAAGAGGGAGATCGAGAGCGTTTCATCGAGTCTGCAAGCAGGGCCGAGAGGAGGAGAGGAGCGAAGAAGTTCACTTGCATGGTCGTCTCCAGCCCGTCCCTCGTCTTCGTGTCGGGCACGGCCATAACTCCAGCGTTGTGTACCAGCAGGTCGATTCTTGCTCCTCTCCTCTCCTCTGCAAACTTCTTGACGCTCGAGAGGTCAGAGAGATCGAGGAAAGCGCAGGTCACGTCTGCTCCTGCATACTGGGATCGAATCTCAGCCGCCGTTTGCTCGCAGCTCCTCCTGTCTCTGCATGCCATGATCGTCCTCGCCTTCGCCTCCCCCGCCAGCAGCATGCTAAGTTCCTTCCCCAGCCCCCTGTTCCCTCCTGTCACGATCGCCGTCCTCCCCTTCATACATCCTCGCATGGACTGGCGGATTGCCGCCTCCTTCTCCTCCCAACTCGCTTCCTGCCGCACCAGAAAGGCCACGGTCTCTGCTCTCCTCCTCTTCAATGCTGCCGGAACCGCTCCTCCAGGCGTCGCCATGGCGACAGAGAAGCTGCCGATGGCGCACAAGAGGACGAGATCAAAGAAGGGAGACTGTCGCAAACGCAAGCACAACATATCTATTCGCAAGTCTATCCGAAGAATCCCTGAGCAGGACTCGCTCTAAATCTACAACAACCTTCTCTCTCCTCTCGTTCCTCCTTCATTTCTCCTTCTCATCCCATTTCTCCAACTCCTGCACCTCTGGTAAGGAAAGGAGAGCTAAGAAGCCGCCTTGCTTACCCTGAGACTCTCAAGTCGCGCCTGCAGCCTAGCCTTCCTCATTTGCTCATCCTTGAGAATCCATTCCTTCTGCGTCCATCTAGTCACAAGGACTATTGCCGAAGGGGAAACCGCAGCAGCAGCAGCAGCAAGCAAGCAAGCAAGCAAGCAGCAGCAAGCAAGCAAGCAAGCAAGCAGCAGCAATCAGCAGCAATCAGAAGCACGGCAGCACGGCAGCAGCAGCAATAAGCAGCAGTAAGCACCAGCACCAGCACCAGCAGCAACCATCAGCAGCAGCAGCAGCAGCAATCAGCAGCAAGCAAGCAAGCAGCAGCACCAGCAGCAGCAGCAGCAGCAGCAAGCAGCAGCAGCAAGCAGCAAGCAGCAAGCAGCAAGCAGCAAGCAGCAAGCAGCAGCAGCAGCAAGCAGCAGAAGGATTATTCTCCGCACAGCGACCTGATATTTGAACCCGATGAGAGCTCCAGCGATCGCTCCAAACCCTATCACAAAAATCTGAAACGACAATGTCATTCTCTGCCTCCTCTCAGCATTCCCCGTCACCTGCGCCGTTCCGCTGCTGTCTCCAAACAATCCTGACTCGATTTGACGGGAAAAGTGTCTCTTCCACAACATCTACACCTCAACAGTGAGACATGTGCTACATCCTTTCTCGCGTACGAGTTCGTCTGTGATATGCTCACGCTCTCTTGCCTATCCTACTCCTGCTCCTGCTCATCCTCCTCCTCATCATCATCATCATCATCATCATCATCATCATCATCATCATCATCATCATCATCATCATCATCATCATCATCATCATCATCATCATCATCATCATCATCATCATCATCATCATCATCATCATCATCATCATCATCATCATCATCATCATCATCATCATCATCATCATCATCCATTCTCTGCCATGTCGATGCGACGTCATAACACATCGTTTCAGGTTCTCAATAACGATCCGTACTCCTTTACTCAAAGTTAAGTTAAAAAGCAGTACGAGGACAATCAATAACGAAATAGTCTTTGAAAGCAATCAGTTTCTGGTAATTTTAATATATTTCAAATTAATCTTGAAATTGTTGTAACATTTCTTGAAAACTGAAGACAAGATTTGATACATCATTGTACATTTTGGGATGTAATAATTTGACGAAAGTTTTAAATATTGCAGGTAAATATTCAAAATACATGATCAGATTAGAGACCTTATCGAAAGTATTGGAGAAGGGTTTGGAACAGTGCGAGTTTGCCGGGTTAGAAGGCGACGATGGCCGAAGCTCGGACTTGCAACATGGCGGGGGGCGCGGGAGGAAGGAGGAGGAAGAGAGAAGAGAAGATGCAAAGGGGTCATGCTCGGTGAACAAGGGAGGAGACGAGCTGGCTGAGCCTCAGGGTGCTGGTGTTGTGTCGGGCTGACTTGATCGAGCCAAGTTCAGCAGGTGCATTGCAGCGGCAGGACAAGGAGGGTGAGATGGGGAGATGGAGGAGGGGTTTGGTCCCTCGGGTGCAGCTCGTCTCTCTCGTCTTGCTCCTCCTATGCATCGGATCAGGCGGCTTCTCCTGGAATGCTGACTTGGCAGCGGCAAGGCTGAACCGACACGATGTGAAGGGGGGGAGAACAGGTCTCAGTTGTCCGCGGCGCGTTTGCCGGCATGAGAGCGCGAGTCTGACAGTCAGGATGTCGGAAAATGAAGGAGAGGAGGAGAAACCTCTGAACTCTCTCCTCGCTAACACGCGCAAGTCCCGGAGAATCTTCCTCTTCTCGTCTGCCGTCCTTGGATCCATCGCATTGGGGATTGGGCTGCGTCAGGAGGAGGCGAAGGATCTCGCCATGCCGGGCGGCAGGGGTGCAGCAGCGAAGGTGAATGCGTTGAGAGCAGATGCGGACGCCACGAAGAAGGAGCTGCAGAACATCAGGAAGGAGCTGCAGAACGACTTGGCGGACCTCAGAAACGGGATGGACGCGGAGCTGAAGAAGATAGAGGATATCTTGCTGGAGGGAGACAAGGACCTGAAGCCCCTGAAGCCCAAGGACACCAAGTCGTTGGACTCGATGGTGCGGGCGCAGGTGAAGGGGTCGGAGGAGAGCATCGTGAACGCGCTCAAGGAGGTGGAGGAAAGTCTGCTGGACGAGAAGATGAGGAGAGAGGTAAGGGGGATCAAGTCTGAATTCATGCAAAAACAAATCGAACTTGCTTCTGAGTTGAGATCTACGGCGTACAAGGTACTGAAGATATTCTGTTTCTTCCTTCTCCGACTTCCCTTCTGACGGCCTTGTTTGCTCACTCACTCCCCTCCTTGTTCTCCTTGTCATGCTAGACAACAATGGCAGTCTCTGTTTCTTCCTTCTCCGTCTCCCCTTCTGACGGCCTTGTTTGCTCACTCACTCCCCTCCTTGTTCTCCTTGTCATGCTAGACAACAATGGCAGTCTCTGTTTCTTCCTTCTCCGTCTCCCCTTCTGACGGCCTTGTTTGCTCACTCACTCCCCTCCTTGTTCTCCTTGTCACTCTAGACAACAATGGCAGTCTCTGTTTCTTCCTTCTCCGACTCCCCTTCTGACGGCCTTGTTTGCTCAGGTCAACGACAAGGATCTGCAACAGCAGCTGCTGCAGGAAGCCATGGACTTGCTTGAGATCGACCCGACAAGGCCCCTCTCGCTCAAGGAGAAGCTTCGTCGTCAATGGAGCAGCTTGCAGGTGAGAAAGCAGGTGCGGGAGGAGCGAGCGTGACTCGAGCTGCTCAGGGGGTGGTGGAGGAGAAGGTGCTGAAGAATGAAGACATGCTGAAGCAGCTGGATCAAGTGCTGCCCTTCGATCTCTACAAGAAGGAGATCAAGGGAGATGCAGAGTACATCACCTTCCCCTTATTTGGAGGAGTAAGAACATGCTGCAGCCTTCCTCCTCTCCCCCTCCCCTTCCACCTCCTCTTCCCTTCCTGCCATCCTGATTCCCTTCCTCCTCGTCGTTCTCTCACACCTTTGCAGATGACGGTGGAGAAGGCAACGCTGAGCCCTCTGCAAGTCCTCCAAGGAGGTCTGCTCGCCGGAGCAGCAGGGGAGATTCTCAAGGACTGCGTCTCGTTCCCCATGGACACGATCCGTACCAGGCTGATGACGCAGGGCTCTTTCCTCCCCCCCAAACACTCGCCAGAGGCATCGGAGGAGGTACACGGTCCGCCTCCTCCTCGCGCCTTGGGCTGACGTGCTTTCTTGCAGGAGGATTTTACTGAGGGTCAAGTGACGGTGGTCGAGGGGCCGGAGATCGACCTCACGCTCTATACAAAGGATGTCGGGAGGGGAACTGTGATGATCAACAAGCCCAGAGAGGATCCTCGTCGTCTAATCAAGGTCCCCCTCCGTCTCCTCCTTCTCCTCCACCTCCTCCTCCACCTCCTCGCTTTCTTCTCCCTCTTCCTACTTCCTGCCCCTGCCCCCTTCTTGCCTTGCCTCCTTGACCTACCTCTTTCCACCTCTCTCTTCCCCCCTGCTCTTACTTACAGCTACCACATGATATCGATTCTCGTTCTCTCCCTCCCCTGTCTCTGAATTGTAAATTTGCCTGACTGCGAAGACAGCGGCTGGGAGAGCAAGGATCCGCCATGGTCAGCCAGGCGCTGAAGCCCTACAAGGTGCAGCTGCAAAACTTGCAAGCATGGCGACGAGGCGAGCGGATCTGGAACGAGACGACCGTGACACTGAGGAGAGGAGAGAGGATCTGGTCTGAGACGACCCGCATCATGAAGTACTGCTGGACTCCTGCTGGGCCTGAGCGACTCTGATCACTTTCTCCAGCACCAACTTCTGGTCGAGGCTCCCGATCAAAGTCCCCCAGGGACTCTTCAACGATGTCTACCGGGGGGTGACGCCTGTCCTGCTCGCCAGCCCCATCCAGGTGCCTGGCGATCCCTCCTGCTCATGACGTCATTTCACTCCCGCCTGCCCTCCTGCCTGCCGATTCCTTGTTCTTTATCCATTTTGCTCGTCTCGTCCCCTCATCTCATCTCACCTCACCTTGTCCTTCACCTCATCTCCTCTCCTCTCCTCTCCTCTCCTCTCCTCATCTGTGTACAGGGAGCCTTCTTTTTTGGAGCCAAGGACGTGCTCAAGAAGGTCATGCCTGCTTCAGGCTTCAACCCCACACAGGTAAGAGTTCTCGTTCTCCTCACCCCCTGCTGATCCTCCTGCAGACGTTCCTTGCTGGTATCGTGCTGGCAGACTCAGTCTACTGGCTCGTACGTTGTCCAGCTGAGACCGTGAAGACGAGGGTGCAGACGGGCCTGGAGCCCAACTTTGTGGAGAGTGCCAAGGTAGGAGGGCGAGGAAGAGGAGGAAGACCGAAGGAGTGGGAGAGGGAGAAGGCAGAGGATGGGGGGGGGAGGGGGTTTCTGACACTACACCCTCTGAACTCCTACGGCAGACTATCCTGATGAAAGAAGGGCTGTACGGCTTCTATCGCGGTTACATCCCGCTCCTTCAGCTGGACTTTCCCTTCACCATCCTCAACTTCGCGCTCTTCACAGCCTACCAGGGACTGGTGAGCACTTACTTCGGTCACGAACCCACCATCTCCGATCAGTTCGTGGGAGGATTCATCTGCTCCGCCATCACGGCGGGTCTGACATGCCCGCTGTCAGTGGCGAGCACGCGAATTCTGATGGACTCAGGGGGAAATGACCAGGAGGAGGAGGAGGAGGAGGAGAAGGAGAAGGAGCCGGTGTACACGGGAGCCGCTGCAGGTGACAAGAGCTCGTGGACGGAGCTCAAGACGTGGATAGAGGAAGGCATCCACAACATCTCCAAGGACTCCGCGCTGGCTGAAGCCGAGGCGGCGGAGGGGGAGGATGCGGCGAACGTCGGGGTCATGGATCGTCTTGCCTTGGCTTCTGAGAAGACGATAGAGTTTTTCAACCCGGGCAAGGAGGACGAGCAAGCTGGCAAGGAAGGCCAGGCTTCACCTGCGGGTGCTCGCAAGGCCGAAGGGGCCAAAAGTCGCCGGTACACAGACATGCTGGGGACGATGAAGACGATCGTGGAGGAGGAAGGGATCAGAGCTCTTTTCAAGGGCGTCGTGCCGCGCGTGCTCCAGCTGGGGCTCAACCACGCCATCCGCTTCAGCGGCTACCAGGTGAGCTGAGGAGGGTCGGAGCTGGGGTTGACGCCACCCGCAGGCCTCGAGGGACGTGCTGGTGCATGGAATGTTGGAGGGTGACTTGGATCGCACGCTCATTCGCATGTTCACGGGAGGGTTTCTGCCCAAGTAGATTCTCGTCCCTCACTATCCACATGACATGACAGCCCCTTCTGCCCAGCTATCAGATCATTCATGCACCCGAGGCGGGTTCGAAGATCGAGTGTGTGCTGAGGTGGACAAGTTGTATATATTACTCTATCCAGAAATTTACATGACACAGCGCAACGAAGAAGCTGTTAATTAACCTGACGCCTTTTGATCCTCTCTTTCCTACCTCTCACTAGCTGGCGTATCGCGGCTTCCTTCTTCTGCCCTTCTCTCTTGCTCGCTGTCTGCCTCGTTGGTCGAGAGCGCCATCTTGTTGACTACAATCGGTGCTCCTGGAGGTGCCATGCCGGAAATCAGATCGCCCAGAACTTCGCCTTCTTCGCCAGATGATCCGCCTCCTGCGACATTCCAGTCAGCTCGCCGTGTCTATCAGTGCTCTAGTCATGAACCTCCTTGAAGATCCATGAGACCCTCTAGCCCTTGCGGTGAACCCTTCAACTTCTGTGCCATCCCTCGAACCATCACGTCGGCTGCTGTGACCTTGGCATACCCAGACAGCGAAGCTTGCTGCTTGTCTTGCAACATCGGCTGCCAGATCCGCTTTCGGGCATTGACAAACCAGTAGCTGACCTGCTCCCCTATCAAGAGAAGACATCGTACGTGATGCGAGCAAACCTGAGCGGTTGTTAAGCCTGTCTTCTCAGCGAGCAGCTCTTTGTCTGAATCATCGGGATAAGGGTGCATGATATGCTCTTCAAACCATTTCTTCAATTCATCCACTGTCTCCTTCGGAAAGTTCTTCCGCTCTTTCTTTGGCCCATCTTTTTTACTGCTGTCAGACATCTTCACTGCCTTGGAGTCTGAGTTCGAACCAAACTTGTCTGGGTCTGCAGCATTGAACTCATATAAGCTACACAAAAAGGGAGAATGTTACTGTAAATCATTTCTTGGCTGGGAAATGAATTTCCTGCCTGCTAAATGACTTGGATTAGGTCAGGTGCAGAGAAAGAAGAGAGATGTACTTGTAATCTTGAACTATCTTTGAATTCTCCGATTTTGTTGAGTGGAGTGAAAGAATTGATATGGCCTTCAGTCCTCGCTCTCAATCTGAAGACGAGGGGAGTAAGCCGGAATATACCAAAAAACATTTCTCAACGGAACGATTGAAAAGGTGAGCAGCATTACTTTGCAATAAGCTCTTGAGCTCTAGTCCGTTTAGCTGATTGTGGAGAATCCTGTGTGGTTTTAGTGGCTCTTCAGACAGAATGACTTGATTTACCTTGATGTCATTCGAAGGTACCAAAGGTCGCTTTGGGGGGGATGATCCCTAAGAAAACAAAAGATCAATTGCCAAATCTGATATCAAACTATTTCTTACAGGTGAATCTTTGTCGCTGATCAAATTGCCGAGTCTTTGACGAAGGTTTGACATTTTTTTGAATTTGTCTTCTCTGTACATTACTTTCAGCGATATTCAACAAAAAACCTCTAGGCAGAACCTGCTCAGTGGAGACCTGGAATTTTCAGGGGTGCTGTCTGTTGGATCATTTTCTGAATTCTTGTTAGAAGGACCTGATTCATCCTCTTTGTTCATTGCTGCGTTGTTTTCCTGAGCCACATGTCACATTTCTGATTTGACACGATGCAGATAATGCATACCGCAGCCTTTCTGACTGTGAGATGTGGAGAATGGTTTTGCGATCCTTGACTCTGCATGTTTTGCAATGGCCCTTTTCAAATCGGATGTACTTGCTGACTTTGTTCTGGAATCCAAATCAAAATTCTCGGACAAGTCGCTGTAGGAGTTGTGAGCGAAGTTTGTGTCTTGGGAATTGGGTAAGATCGGAGAGATGGATGATTTCTTTCTCTTCAGAAGCGCCTTGTCTGCAGATGTAACAGCTCTTCCAACCTTTCTCCTGCCATCATCTTGTCGTCTGCTCTCGTCGTCGTCCTCCCGCCCTCAGAGCGAAGTTGAAGTTCCATGGGCGGCAAGCGAGAAATCACCTGGGTCAGGCTGGAGAAGAAAATTAGAGGGGGTAGGGTAGGGGTGGGTAGGAATGGTGGGGCAACCCAGGGGTCAATGTAATACAAGAGGGTGGTCAAGCCTCGGATGCTGGATTGGCGGGAGCAGGTAGGGTACTCGTCATAGCACCCACCCGTACTCTTTCTGAAAACTTGGTCTCGAGGAGACCGGTATCACTGAGTACCCCCACTACCCCATCACAGGACACCACCGGGTTACCCATCATGTCAAATCCCATTTGTGCCTGAGGTGGGCCCAAGCACAATTCAGTTGCCGACTGAGCGGGCCTACCGAGCCTCCGAGAGTCGCCTCTCGGAGGCTACAAGCCCCGGGCCGGCGTGACCGTGGCACCGGACTCACCGTTGAGTCTAAGGCCCGGGTCGGCCCCGGCCCGGCCCACTTGGCTTCAACGGCGGAAGCGGGCTCGCCGCCGGGTGACCGTCAGTTCAAGCACTCACTGTCGGCGGCGAGCCAGCCTCCGGGAGGCTCGGTACGGTACTGCACTGCACTGCGGCAGCCACCACAGTAGTGACTTGACTATCGGAACCATGCAAAGCCATGTCGTGTGGAAGTTCGGAATTTTCGCAATTCGAAAACTTGGCTTCAAGTTCCGACTGATCCTGGGGTGAAAGTCCAGCAGGTACTACGGTATCCCCAACGATGAACAGCAACTTTTTCAAGAGAACGGAATACTTTCAAAGATCATCCAATTTATCGCCAAAGTCAGCAAACTCCTCGTTCACTGCTTGTACATTCTGAAGGTTCCATTCCTCGGGAGATTGAATGGCCGGATGCTTGATATACACATACAGATAAAGCCCAGAACTGTTCACGCAAGAAAACAAGACGAAAAAGAAAGTAAAGAACAAGTTAGATGAATGCACAAGCAACAACAAAATATCAAGGTTCACCTGCCAAATAAGAACATGGAAAACAGTGTGAGAGTGAACGATCCAGACAACAAGGCATAGATTGCACAGAGAAAAGATGCACCCAATTGGAAGAACAAAGTCATCGCAGAGAATGACTGAGCATTCTTAGACTTCCAAACTTTGCTCATTTGCGGAATCTGACCTCCTGCCCACATCAGAGCACCGAGAGTCGCAGCTGCAGTCGCAACATTCCCACCTCTTGCCTGGTTGCCTAAGACATGGTCAGCGACTTGCAACATGAGGTATCTTGTGACCACCTGCAGGGCACTTGCATGGAGCGGAGGAGCTTGGAGCAGAGATCTGATTCTGTACATCTGGGAATCCTGAAGCCCGCATCGGCTGGGAGTTCTGCTTGTTTCCATCGATAAGGAAGGATGAGTCCTTTGAAGGCATAGATGGCATGCTCACTGTCCCTAACGTCTCTTTGGAGGGATCATATCCCATCGTCTCGCGTGAATCTCGGGAGCTCTGCCTTTGCCCAGTAGCCGTTGACGACAGGAACAAGATGATCATGAAGGTAATCGTAACTACACATCCCATCGTGTTAACGCCGTTTCTGTACAAACACAAAAGTAAGCGCTATTACTGAAAACACTGACACCGAAAACACGGTATAGCTTCGAGATGTCGCGCAAGATCACATCGAACAAAGAACCTACAATATCGAAATGTATTCCGATGTTCTTTCCGAAAACCTCCCTTCCTGGTTTCGATGGCCCAATAGGGAATATTGCTGCTGCTGTGTACCACGGCTATACCTTGTCCTCGCTTCTTGTCCTTGAGCTTGTCTTGATCTCTTTCCATCGTCCACCGTCGACATTTTCGTTCCTCCTTCCCCTCGCAAGCCTATCTGATCGCACCCATGCTTCCCATCCCTGACATGGCAAGATTGTCCACATCCCCACACTGACCAAAGTGGACTGAGACCCCTGGAGGACCCCCTCGAGGACGCAATAGAGGACCCCCTAGAGGACCCCTAGAGGACCCAGAGGGAAGGACCCACCCCTGTGGAGAGCCTATGACCTACCGTCAAAAACACGTTTACTTGGCGAATGAGGGTACCCACCCTGTCTTCCTCCAGTAGTTTTAAAACACTGGAGAAGTTCGAGGGGGAGTGGTGGTGGTGAGAGGGATGGGGTGGGGTGGGGTGGGGTGGGGTGGGTGGGGTGGATGGGGGAGGTGGGGTAGGAATGGGATGTAAGGGGTGGGGGCTATTGTATGGGCGAGTGTTTGATTTTCTTCAATTTCCGCTAAAATCAATATGTCAGATGCCAAATTTTGAATATCTGCCTAACATTTTGGATGACTCTGAAAATTCTACCAAAATTGTTATCACTCCGATCGTGCAGGTTCTTCACCCACGACCACCCCCTCTCAGACCCCAGTTCTTCTACCCTGGGACTGCTACCCCCACCACCATCTCTAGTCTTCAGGATAGTCTAGAGTACCCTACCCCATAAAACCCACCCACCCACTGGCTGACATTCGTTCTTCCTTCGCTTGCTTGAGAAGCTGCGCGAAGCAAGCGTGTTTGCAGGCTCTCCTCCTCCTCCTCCTCCTCCTCCTCCTCCTCCTCCTCCTCCTCCTCAGCCTTACTGAGTGATACCATCTCGATCGATCTACGTCTTGCTTTCCAGCACTTACTGCAAGCCGAGCTACACCTCTTCCTGAGCGGAGAACCTTTCACAAGAACCCGAGAGTCTTTAGGTTCCCACTCGCAATGGCACCGGTAAGTCAGACGCGGCCAAGAATTTTTTTCACGCCTCTGACAAGAGAATTGTTTCAGTTACCTTCTGTCTTCTCTGCGGTTTTTCGTGTGGCTGCTGTGGCTGCACCAATTGTTGGGCGTGCGCTTGTGGATGCTTACAAGCAAGCGATGATAAGTGAGTCTGCAAGACGTTCAGTCGACCAGGCAGGGCTGAGAGTTTTTGTTTTCCTTGTAGATGCACAAGCTGGAGGGGCGGCAAGGCAGGCTGTTCTCAAGAGCTCGAAGATGTCAAGGGATGAAGCGATAAAGATTCTCAATGTTGAGAAAGCGGCAGATATAGAAACTATCAAACAGGTATCGTTTTACATGGTATACTAACGTGTTCGTGATATGGATTATCAACAGAAATACAAGCTCTTGTTTGAAAACAACGATCCTTCAAGAGGTGGATCGAAGTACTTGCAGTCCAAGGTATATATCTGGAGCAAAGTCTGTGAGGTTCGGTGAAACCTTGGTTCTACAGATCGAGGTAGCACACAGGATTTTATCAGAGGGTCAGGGGGGTGAGGCTAAACAGCAGACATGAGGGAGAGATAGGTTAATCTTCAAGAGGTTCAGCAAGGTCGATCACATTGTGCATGTCGGACGTCCGTTGTTTTCTATCTAAGCATGCTGGGTTTGAGTCAGACAGAAATCGAGATGTGATCAAAGCAACTGAACTGTTTTGGGGGCCAGAGAAGTGTTATTTATTTGGCTTTTGTCATCGACGATTCGTCGAGATCCATGGCCTCAATGTAGCAATTTTGTTTGGCATCGATCAAATAAATTATTGTCGAAATAAGAAGGAGGGAATTATTGCTTCTCTTCTCCTATCAGAATCATCTGTGCTGATTAAGTTTTATTCAGAGATTCTAATCATGACAAGGGTCGCGTTCCACCATCTCACTTCTCTCACACCAAGTGTAGTACCACAGACGATGTTATGCACCCCACCTTCATCCTTTGCAGCTTTGCAGAGTTTTGCGCTCAAGGCTTTCCCTCAGTCGTCCCGTTTGAAGAAAGTCTGTCAATGCGCGGGTATTGCCCTCCATGTATCTGAAAGCATGCGAAGAAATATGCCGTGGCCCACCAAATCCCGACCACGGCCAATTAACCTCATCCACCTCGCCGGCGGCATGATGGTTTATATCCTCTGCCTCCCCCCCCATTGTTCATATGACTAAACCCACTTGCGTTGTCCCAATAGTCCCTCGTGTCCTTGGGCTTCTTTGTCTCCGGCTTCTTTGCAGATCTACCTTGGCTTGCTGCTTCCATCTCCTCCAACTGTTGTTTTCTTCTCTCTTCCTCAATTTCAGCAAGGTGTTTTCGTTTTTCGGCAGTTTCTATTTCATATCTTGCCTGTTGCAGTTCTCTTATCTTCCTCATGGAGTCGTCTCTGGATTTGAGCTTTGCCTCCAACTTCATGGTACCGTAACTTTCTTTCAGCTTGCGCACAATGAAATATAGCAACACAGCGAGCATGAAGACAAGGAAGCCATACTCCTCAATGTAGTCGATGAATGTTGCCGGCTCCTTTCTTGCTGCCATGGCTTCTTCCATACCCTGCATCCCAACCCCTTCCATTACTGCTTCCTCCCCTTCCACAGCCAACCTGGATTTCACCCTTTCCACCTACCCACCCTTGTAAACTCAGTACCCCTGTAAACCCCTTTACATTGTCTGGCAAAAGACCCCCCTTTCCAATGATGAACAAATTCAAAGGCCACCCCCTACCCCACCGTTTCCCAGCGCCGGTCTCGAGCGTGGTACCATTGAAAAGGGGGGTAGTTGAGCAAGGCTCAAACCCAGCAAGGTGGGTCTGATTTGAGGTAATTGGTAGGGTCAGGGTGGATAACCACTCAATGGAGGGGTGGGTGTACTGCTAGTTGATCAAAGCATCGACGTCACCAGCGCCCGGCCGGGCCGGGCGGCGGCCGCCGGGCTGCCGGGCCGCGCCCGGCCCGCGGGCGGCCCGCCGGGACTCGGTCACCGGGTTGAGCGGCACGGGGGCCCGGGGGTTCAACGAGTCGGATCGATCGGGGCGGATAGCACAGTGTGAAAGTAAAGGATGCACCCTTGAAGGGTACCGGGTACCGTCAACTTAACTGCGGGTGACTGGGGAGAGGCGGGGGCCCGACTGCACCGCGGAGTCCGCCGTGACGGTAACGTTCATCATGGGCGCCCTCAACTTCCGACAGGTACGGTACAATGCTGGAGAGCACCGTGAGCTTGTCACGGCCGCGGGCGAGTCCGTGACACTGATCTGACGCCGGTAGCCACCAGGGTAACTCAGGCACCACATGCTGAGCCTAGTAACAAGTACACAGTGGCGTGACTGAATAGCCCCCCTACACTGAGAGTTGAAACGACTCTGCCGTGACTCGCGCTCACTGCAGGCTGACTGAGTAAGTCACCGGGCCCTCAGTGCTGAGTAGCCGCACGGCGGGGGCCTCCATGACGGATGCAGAGACGGCGCAGCGGCCAGTGAGACTCAGACGATTTATTGGGGGCTGATAGGTTCAAGGGCGAGGAAAGAGAGAGTAGAGGAGAACAAAGAAGAGACTGGCAGACATGGCAAGGAGAATGTCTCGCTGCGACGACCCCGCTGCGACTGAAGAGAAGGGCAGTCAGAGATGTTGAACAGCGAAGGAGGGAATTGAAGAGGACGGAGGAGGACGGAAGAGGAGGCATAGCACCATCTGTGTTCATGGAATCCGGGCGAAGCATGTCTGCGACTTTGTTGAATGACAGGACCAAAGAATCCTGAGCAGCAAGGAGCGTTAGAGCCGCAAGGGAGCGAGACAGGCGCGAGTTCCTTCTTCGCAGGCAAGGATTCCATCTCCTGTCCGACAAGGTGAGGAGGCGAGATAAGGGGAGAGGGCCACGTCACCGCTCGGACCTCCTCCAGCTCCTGCAGCATCTCCTGCACCTGCACCTGAGCATGAGGCAGCGGACGGGGATGTAGACGGAGAGACCCTCCTCGACTTGGTGGCCGAGAAAGAGACGAGCTGGGGCAGGAAGCTGTAAGTTCAAGGGCCGAGGGCCGAGGCTCGCACCTTATACTCCCGTTGGCTCAGCCGTTGGATCTGCTCCTCGAGGTCCTTGAGCTGGTCCAGGAACTCGCCGTGCTCTCGGAGGGAGATGGAGAGGCGCGCGCGGGAGCTCGTGAACCTGGTCTCTGCCTTGGTGAAGATAGTCTCCAGCGTGACGGTGATGGGCACGCCTTGACGAAGATGTGAGGAAGGGAGGGAGGGAGGGAAAGGAGGGAGGGAAAGGAGGGAGGGAAAGGAGGGAGGGAGGGAAAGGAGGGAGGGAGGGAAAGGAGGGAGGGACAGGAGGGAGGTAGGTGAAGACCGTGGTTGTCAAGGAGACGGAACCCGTTCTCAAAGGCCTGGGGATCAGAGTCAAGTTAATGACTGTCCTATCATCACACAACTCATCACATGAAGGTCAAGATCGATCTTTGGTTTGCTCTTCGACTCGAAATACACTTGAAACAGGTTGGCCTTGGTCAGACCTGCTCTGTTGTCACTTGCTTGCCTCAAGAGTTTCGATGGACCCAAGTCGGAGGACTTGGTAAGGCGCAGCATGGAGGAAGACTTGAAGGCGAGGAGGAGCTGGAGGGTTTGAATGTCTTCGTTCTTCGGGACCCTCAGCTGAGAAGGAAGCATCATCCGAAGGAAGTGGAGAGGGAGTGGGGAGAGGGGCAGGAGGAAGTGAGAGATCAGGAGGGAGAGGGGGAGAAGGAATGGGTTGGGGAGAGGAGAGATGGCGGTGAAGAGAGAGAGGAGGAAGGAGAGGGAGAAGGGCAGGGAGAGGGAGAGAAGAGGGGAGGGGCTAGGATGCCAAAGTGGGGAGCGCAAGGGGGAAAGTTGAGAGAGGATATAAGAGGACATGAAAGGGAACAAAGAGGAGAAGGAGAAGGAGGAGGAAGAGTGGTACTAGTAGTGATCGACGAGGGGGAGGAGCAGGAAGAGGAACAGGATGAGAGCTATACGCTTTCTTACAGTCATACTCTCCGTCCATCCTGGAAATCCTCCATGTTTCTTGCACACTGAAGTCGACTGGGCCTCGCTCCTGCGAGGAAGAAGAGATGATCGTCAATAGACAACAAAGATCGCGAATATACGGCTGAGATCATACACAATCATCATACACAATCATCATCATCATCATCATCGACATCGCTGACAGACATCGCTGTCAGACAACAACAGAAAATAAACGTCGTGAATAACAACAAACATCGTCAAAGTATCAAACAGACTGGACTTGTGTTCAACTCACACCCTCTTCCCGGCCTGATTCACAAACATCGTCTCCACATAGCAATCCGGAGCAATCCTGGGAAAACTTGACGAGACAGGAACGAAACAACAACTTTCTGTCACCCTTCCCATAATCTGCAGCACAGGTAGCCGACCCTTGTCACTCGAAACTGCCAGGGAGCAATCAGGACGGGAACTTAGCCCTGAATCATCCTCCTCGCACCCGGAACGTCCACTCCTCGTCCTCGAGGAATTGCACAAAGTTGGTGAGCTCCTGAAGAGTTTGAAGATGAGGAGGAGAACAGGTGGCAGAGGGGAGGCGACCAGAGGAGAGATCTGATTGTGATCGAGAGCTGTATGATTCTTCTGCGTCCATTGGTCCACAGAGATCTGAGGTGATGAAGAAGAAGTAAGGTGCGCAAGTAGAGCATGCGAGCAACGAGTGATAAGAACTCAGATGTGGATGATGATGATGATGATGATGATGATGATGATGATGATGATGATGATGATGATGATGACGATGACAAAAATGATGATGACGGTGATGACGATGATGAAGAAGACGATGATGATAATGATGATAATGATGACGATGATGATTATGATTATGATGATGATGATGAAACGGATGTCTTTCGAGAGGTTAGGTTGAGTGAGATGAATAAAAAACCTCACCTTCACTCTCGTCGTTTTCTTGTTCTGACCCAACACGCTCTCCCCGTTCTTCTTCTTCATCTCCACCCAACATTCCCCCTGTGCTTCCATCACATGAACCCTCATCCTCTGCTCTGCTGCTCCCCTCTCCCCCCCCTTTCCTCCTCTTCCGTACCGACTGGAGTATACTTTTGATCTTTATCTTTGCCCTCCCGATCAGCTCCTTGAATTTCCCTCGGTTCTGCTCACATATCAGCACCCTCTTTCTCCTTGTCCGTCCTCGTCCGCTTCCCCTTCATACCTCCTTCACCTCCTCCAACTCTTCACTCTGTACCCTCTTCCTCCCTCCGCCCTCTGCCCCCCGGCCCCTCCTCCCACACGCCTTCCCTCGCTTCCCCTCACATCATCGTAGAGCATCAGCGTCAGGTCCATGCTGAGTGAGTCGATCGCAAACACAAACTGAAACCATCGATCAGTCCCATTCTCCTGCTCTTCCTCCTGCTCTTCCTCCCTCCCTCCCTCCCTCCCTCCCTCCCTCCCTCCCTCCCTCCCTCCCTCCCTCCCTCCCTGTCCTCACCTCTTCATTCCATGACCCCGCGTACTTCCCCCACGCCGTCTCCGTGCGGTAGGTTGTCTCCCCGCAGCAGATCTCCAGCAGCG